TTTTTTATTTTGTGGTAAAATTATCTTCATTTTTAATGAAGAAAAAATTTACTTACTTCAAGAGTAAGTCTTGATAGATTTATTCTATTTAATAATTAATGTTCTATATCAAATTTTTAAGAATTTAATTGTTAAATTAAAAAGTTTTTCATGTATAGATCAAATTTATAAAAAAATTTAAAAAATTAAAAATCATATGATACTTCGTTAAATTAATTCAAATTAACATATAAAATATTTTTGTTTTAAATGAATGTAAAAATTTAGAGGACACTAAAAGAAAATAAATTAATAATTTTATTATATTTATCCTAATAATTTTTTATCATATGCCCGTTCTGCAACCTAAACGGCCCGTTCTGGTTTCAGAACGGACCGTTCTGGTGTACTGGTGGTGTGTTCATTTTGCATCTAGAATGGCTCGTTTCAGATGTAAAATTAACACACCAAAGAGTGCATCCAGAACGGCCCGTTCTGGTTTCAGAACGGGTCGTTCTGGTTCTAGGTGTTTTCACAAAATTTGGCGTCCACGTGGTATCCACGTATGCATCTACGTGGCATCCACGTGGCCAACAGTTAACTCCGTTTAAATAATTTGGACGGAAGTCCCAAATTGAAACCAATTAACTTATGAGGGACCAAATTAAGACCAAAAATAAAAGTGAGACTAAATTGAAACAAACAATTATTATAAGGGACCAAAATAGATTTTTAGCCTATTTTTTTTCTCCTTTTGTTCGCATATTCATTCGTTTAGGAAGTTTGAAAATGGGAGAAATTTTCACTTTAACTACAAATTGACAAAAAAACCATAGGTAGAAAAATATTTCTTTCAGATTTTATTTTTTTTCATGCGATTCCTTTGCAGATTCTTTTTAAAACTAATAAATTTGTACAGCTTCAAGCAAAAATAAAGTCAATCATTAACCCTTTTAAAAAAATTATTAAAAAAAATTCATTTCAATTTTAACATAAGTATGTATAGAAAAATATTAAATATAAGGAATGTCGGATTTGATCATAGGTCTTAATTTGTAGAAACTTAAAAAAAAATTGTTTTACAAAATGATAAATAGAGAATGACACTCCTATAATTATCAGGCAGAGAGTTAATAATATGTTAAAAATTCACATATTAAACAATATTATATACTTAATGGTTAGTCAAAACTAGTGGATAATTTGACTTAGGAATTTACTTGGGAACTAAGGATCAACAAAAATTCACTAAAATAAGTTCACCTTTGATGTCAAGGGATATATGTACCAAAATAAGATTTTATGGTTACAGAAAATTGTCAAATTCATGTTACAAAAATATAAGTTCGGACTAAATAACAAAATAACATTATTTACCAAATTTAAATAATTGAATTTAATTTTGACTTTTTTTTTCATATTTTCATGATTTATTCATCTTATCTTATCTTACTTTGCAAACAACTTCACCATAAATGCTCCATGTATTAATTTTTCTTGTTTTATATAATTCCTTTTGATAAATCTTAATATTGTTTCTCTAAGAGATTTACTAAAATAATATTAATTATAAAAAATTTAAACTATAATAACATAATAAAATATTAATTCTGAGTAATTTTAAAATAGAAATAATAATATAATTATGCTAATTTATTTTACAAAATTCTCGTAAAGAATCATGTATAGGAAATGGTAACAAAAATCCATGTAAACTTTTTTTTATGTAATATAAATAAGAAAAATTATGCTATTTTTTTTTACACCAACAAAATCAGATTCTTTCAATTAAAATAATATTCTAAATATAATAAGAAATTTCATTATGAATATTCTCAAAATCAAACAAAATAAAATTTCTAGTTAAAGAATAAGCTATCAAATTACTTCCTTTTCTACTCTATTGAATAATAATAATAAAAGAAAAATATCTCAAAATCTCTCTAATTTGATTAAGAATCATATCA